GCATAGTACTTTATACCAGAGCATTAGATTCAGTGAGATTGATTGATTGCTGTACCACATAGTATCAGGGTTTTTAAGGGGTGTGTCCATGAGATTACAGCCTATAACAAGTTACTTTAGACCAAAACTACTATTGGAAGGATATCTTTCTCTACTAAATTCTAAGCATTTTCAGATTAATTTCTATAGAAACACATTAAATGTGTATGGTGCCCTATTGATTTCAGTCCTATTAAAAACTATATCCTGCATTATTACTTTACTCATGTGAGTATCTCCATAGTGTTCAAAGGAGCTAGTCACATGAGTAAAGTTAAGTATATGCTTAAGTATTTTCAGGATCGAGGCCTGAGTTTGTACTTGTGTCTGTGCCGAAATTTCTTTGGGCCCTTACAGTTTAACTTGTAATGTTTTGTGGAGTTTTATTTTAAATGATTGATCTGGATAGATCCCTTATTATAGGAATTAAAGATGGAAAATACCTATTGGCCCAGCCTGTTCCTCCCTTCCAGTGTTTAAAAAGAAAGATAAATATGCATGTTAAAGGTATACGTATTTTCTGCATGGAAAAATCCATGACAGTCATATAGTCAAAAGACTAAAAGTCATTGAACCCTTAACTTGGTGAATGCAGTTCAGATAAAGTTTTCAGTTAAGCATGGCATCACTTCGTAACCGGGGAAGACAGCTAGTTGTCGTTGTCCCATACTGCTATTGTTCTGTAAGTTACAAAATAGTAGAACTGGTTGAAAAATTAAAAAACACGTTGGCAAATGTTTGAAGTTGCTTTCGTTTTCAGAGTTTAAAACAAAGCCACTTTCCATTTTTCAAATATTTTTCATAATTTTTCCCCAGTAACTTTTCCAGTGTTTTCATTTTTCCCAAGGAGAAGAGAAGCTGCCCTGGAGTTTGTTCTCAGTAAGACTTAGGAGATGGTTCAAGAAATAACTAGAATTGAGCCACAGTGTAGCACAGTATAAGTAAGTCCAGTGCTCTTGGCGGGAAGAAGTGGTGTAAATGATTAAAGTCAAAAATAAAAAAATGATGGGTGGGATTTTCCAAAGCAATCGTCGTTGGCCCATTCTGTCCCCACCGAAATCAATGAGAGTTTTACCATTTATTTCAACAGCAGTGGACTTCTGAAAGTCCCACCCTCAAAATACCACAACAAAGCCACCGAAAAGATTCGCACAAGCCAGGTCCAGGGGGGAAAAAACTAGCCTGATTAAATGATAAGTCTCAAGGGGTTATTCCGAGCCTGTAGGAGAAAATTGTCTCTGAGAGCTGAGACCTCACACTGTTGGGGAAAAAAAATGTATTTAACAAACATGGTTCTGAAGGGCATTCATGTCCTGCTACCTGGCTGACCCACATTAAGTGAGCTTTTAAGGATTTTTATAGTATGAATAAAACAAAGAAAAATGTCTTTGGATTTTACAGAAAAGGGAAATTTTAACAACGGTGAGAAATTCCCTCCAAGAGTTCAGGATCACCTCTTTATAAATGTATTAAAAATTAAGGATTTGAGAAAATGGCTGCAATCACATTACATAAATATTTAGAGAACTGCCTGGTGCTTTCATTTCCTGGGCTGAGAAAGACTTTGCCGTTTAACAGTTCATTTTATGAAGGTAAAAGTTCATTTGAGCTCCTTTACAAGTAATATAAGCTTTGCATACGTTTTGCATAGCATTGCAGATGTCCTGCAATAAAAGCCCTAGACACCAGTCTTCGGATTTAGAGCCTTTGGCTGCAACATTTATTGATTAAAAACCTGTGAATGAAACCACAAGGTATTGACTGTTATTTGGCAGCCGAAGTCCCTGTGGGGTCCTTTCTTAATCACCATAGACCGAGCATGTCTACTGCCACCTCAGCCCCATCCCAGTGGCAAATCCTCCCTCTGTTCTCTAGCCCTGTCCTCTGCACAAATATCTGGCCACACTAGTGTCCCACTCAGTCTTGTCTCTCTATTTTCCTCCTCTGAAACCATGCTAAGACTGTAGACTTCTGACCTTCAGGGACCCTGCCAACAAAGTTGTGCCAAATAATTAACCCTTAACAGCCCAGTAACTTGACACAAAGCCCACGTAGCTAGGCAGTCTTTGCCAATCTTTGACTTCACGTTCTCTCAGCATGTTCAGCGGACGGTGATAACATCGTCGGCATTCCAGCCAGTCTATAAAGTGCCCAGCACGTTGTGCAAAACAAGTGATGAAATGAGCCTTTATGATGAAGTGACTCTCATGAAGGAGGGAAGACTTGTTTCATGGGGCTTGATGGCTTAGCAGAGAGGAAAAATAATTAGAACTTAACAGGAGAAAGGGGAAATGAAGATGAAACTGGGGTCTAGCACCTACTGTACAAGATCTGTATAAGTGAAGTGATGCCAGGGCCATGTGAGTGAGCTGAGAACCAGGTCATGCTGATTCAGGATCATATTCTGATTGAATAGCTGGGTATTTTTTATCCTGTGATGAACTGTATTTAAGTCCCCGACAAAGCACACTTATGACACTGCTGGCTGTATCATCTAATCATCAGGGGCAAATTTTCAAAGGCACAAACAGGAGTTAGGCGCCTAATGCCCATGGACTATTAATGGAAATTATACACCTTACTGCCTTTGAAAATTTACCCTCAACATACATGATGATTGTCCTAACAGCCTTTATTTAAATGAGAGATAATCAAAAGAAGTGGGGGAGGAAGCAACTAATAGTCTTCCCCCCGTATTTTTTGGTTGTGAATTTATCCAAAGCTGATGAGCCAGATCTTAGCTGCAGTGTGACAGCCACTCTAAAGTCATCTTGTGGATTCCCTCCCTGCTTAGGGATTCCTTGGGTGGAACAGAGCAGCTGTGATAGCTTCTACCCTACCACCTCCGAGCCCCTCGGAGAAGAATGGATATTTGGATCTAGGTTTTTGGCTTGGGCCCATCTCTACTATTCTACATAACTCAGCCCTAACACTGCCTTTAATACAGGGATCTTGTAGCATGGCTTCCCAAATACATTAAATCCCTGTCTTAAGCACTAATAATACTTAATGAAAGTTTTGTGAGCAAAGTGCATTTTAAAGCAAATTTTAATTTCTATTTTTAAAAAGAACATCGCGGAGCAATTGTATTCATGCCCGAATGAGGACATTTAGTGGAGCCACAAAAAAAGCATGAGCCACCCTCTGAAAGAACAAGAGAACGTTGATTAGGCATGGTGAACAATGGGGATGAAATTCAAAAGCTTCATTCAGCATGAAGGACTTCATTTGAAGAGAGGAAATTTGCCGTGTGAGAAGTAGGCACATTCCACAGCCTGGAGGGGGAAAGTAATTTGAGTTCACCATGCAGCCCCATATTGCATTCTGGTGCTGGAGAGTTGAGCTGCTTTGTACAGGAGCCGACTTTCAGTGGGTACCCCCCTAAAAGCAGCTTTCTCTTCTCAGAGTCCTGCAGAAGAACTCAAACCCAGTATTATTCCCACTATACATGCACGGAATTCTTACTGCAATTACTGGGAGCTCTGGACACATAAAGAGAGCAAGATATTTGTGATGACAATCTAAGAGGAGCCTTTTTGTTTTCAGTCTGTCACTTATGCTCTGGGGCTGCTGCTTATTACACTGATGAATTATCTCACTGTTCCTTTGTGCTCCCCACGTCTGTTTCTTGTGTCTACCTGTTGTCTCTCGTCTTAGTAACATAGACTGGGAGCTCTTTGGGGCAAGAACCATCTTTTTGTTACCTGTGCATTAGAAGGTTTTGAGCTAGTCCCACGTCACAGAGGACTTGTTCATGTAGACAAGCCCTAATTGTCTCTTGGCAATGTACAAGAGCCTTAAATGGGTGTAAATTATATACATCTCCAATGTAAGGACTCTGTGCTGCGAGAGTGGTGTAAAGGGCCATAGTGTGACTGAGAATAGTGACTTTAAAGTGCTTGGTCTCCTCTGATCTGTGCTTTCCAGGGACCAGTGGGCCAGTGTGGTCTTGCTTGTGAAGGGGGTGGATATTCCAGCTTCCTCTGGATCCCTGGGCTGGGGCAAACCATTCCCCTGCAATAGAAGTGTGAATAGGCAACGCTGAGTGTTTGAAACTCCTGGGACTTGATTCTTCTTTGCCCTACACCTTGTGTAGTCATTTATACCTGTGCAAAGGGAGTGCAAAAACTACCACCAAATCAGAATAGTAATGCGCTACATCTGTCTTACACGTGCTTTGCACTGGTGTAGATGACTGCACAAGGAGCAAGACGATGAGGAATCAATCACCTGGAGGTTCCTCTCTCCCCTGCAGGAGGAATTGCTACATAAGAGAGAATGGAGCTTGTGGTTCACAATACTGTTGGTGATGCATGAGTCAGAATAAAATCCAGCTCACTTGTATGGGTTTTGCAGTTCTAAGAGGAGGAAAAAATAGTAAAACCTTATTTCAGTCACCAGAGTGAGCAGGTACAACTGATAGACAGAAGGTGCAGATCTGCTGAGTAAGTAGGTGCCATTTTTATATAGTCACTTTTCAGAGGAGAACTGCACTTTGACACCATCCTGATGTCTTCTCCTTCATCCCCTCACAAGGGTCAGCAAGGCAGGTGCTTCATGGGAGACGGGTGGGTGGGTGTGTTGGGACAATTTAAAACTTTGCACATGCTTCCTTATTGATGCTCTCGCTTTCCAATGGAATTGTTGACGTAGTAAACTCATTGAACAGAACTCTTTTTAAAATGGCAAGAAAGCTTTAGAATGGCAATGGCATAGAATTACTGTGTCGGAGCCTGTCACTTAGCTGGGAGAATTGAGGTTTGATGTTTGGAGCATGAGTTATAACCAAATCACCGTTGAGGGTGGAGTGTGTGTTGGGGGGGTAATAAGGAAAAAATGCCAAGACCTTCATATGTTCCATTGAATTTCTACTTGTTTTTGTAGATTATAGTGTCAATAGTTGTGTGTGCTACCCAGAGTTTTCATGTTGAGGTAAATACTAATGCTTCTGTTTTTTGCAGAAATCTTCTGTATGTCTACCCTCAGAGCCTTAACTTTGCCAACCGGCAGGGCTCTGCCAGGAATATCACTGTGAAAGTCCAGTTTATGTACGGAGAGGATCCAAGCAATGCCATGCCAGTAAGGAATATGCTTTGCTTTCAGTTCCTGTAACTGCTGGGTGCTGCCAATGTAAAGTGTTACCATCTGCACTGCAGCCAGAACGGTGGTGCAGTAACTAACAATGCTCTGAAAAGATCTTTCAGGATGACTGTTTCTGTTGGAATTAAAATAAGAGCATTTCAGAACACAGCACACATTTAAATGCAGTTTATCAAGCAGCTGAGTTGCAACTGATGTTCCAGAGCCAGACTCAGGAAGTCTGTAGTGGCCGCCCGTTAGGCTGGTAATGTAATATTTTTGCTTCAGTGGCAAAAAAAATTTAATCTTACGTTCTACTCTTATTCAGGCCCGGATTCTCAGCCAACAGAGCTCGCTGAATTATACCTGCTGAGGATCTGTCTGTGGGTTCCTTCTCCCTTTCCCACGTTCACACTCCCATTCTTTTGTTCTCTCTGTTCCCCTTGCTTCCTTTCTCCTGGTGTTGCCCAGCTGAGAATGAGGGCTAGCTGTACCACATGGCCTCATCGGCCAAGTTTTCGGCTGGCCCCACTCCACCCAATTTTTGTAACTGGGTTTATGAAATAATTTTTCAAATGATCGAAAGATGTTGTATAGCAATGAAGAGCCAAATCCTCAGCTGGTGTAAATCACTACCGCTCCATTGACTTCAGTTTACAGCAGCTGAGGGTCTGGCCCTAAGCCTCAAACAATGTAGAACTCTGGCGCAAATTCTAATGCTTCTTCTGTTGTGTTTCTGCAGGTTATCTTTGGTAAATCTAGCTGTCCTGAATTTTCAAAAGAAGCATACACAGCGGTAGTATATCATAACAGGTAAAATACAAAAGCTGCTTTTAAAAAACAATTGGGCTTTATTCACCACAATGCTACTCCACTCAAGTCAGAGGAGTTTTACTGGTGTGAATGTGGAGCAATACAATGTGAATCTGACTCATTGTTTATTTAACACTGACAATATACTCAGTGCTTATCATATATAAAAAAATAAAGACAGCGCCTAATACTCCAGTTGTACTTTTATAGAGACTGAGGGCCAGAGTCTGCTCTCCTAGGGGTATAAATCAGGAGTATTCTGGGTAAAACCTGATGTGAGAGGTGAATCGAATCCTAAAAGGTTCCTTCTTGCAAGACACTGAGCACACCAGCCCGATCCAGTGAAACACTTGAGCATAAGTGTAAAGTTAGGCATATCAGTCAATGGGGACTATTTATGTGCTGAAGTTAAGCACATGCTCAGAGTACTTGGTAGCTTGCAGTTTTTGAGCCCAAAGTTCTGACTCAGACACACTTACTCAAACTAATCGTCCTTACTCATGAAAATAGTCCCAGTAGAGCCAGTGGCACTACCTGAGGCAAGGAGTACTCACCTGAGTAAGGATTGCACAAGTTGGCCCCAGTTTTGCATTTGTTCACAACCTCTTGCATTTACAGAAATGCACTGAAGGACAAGGCTCTTACTTCAGTGGGACTGGGGTTGGACTCTGATTGCAATGTATAAAGTTAGTGAAAATTGTATTCCGTATGGCTCTAACTTAAAATAAGCAGACAATTGGTAGTTTGATACAAAAATCAAGCATGACATCCTGGCCTCATTGAAGTCAGTGGATGCTTTACAAGGATTTCATGCCAGATCTATGTGCTTGCTTTTTGCTGAAAATACAATGAACGTCTCATTTGAAAATTGACCTAATCTATAATTATTAGCATTCACTCAAAAACAATTAAATAACAGATCAATCTGTGGAACTCCTTGCCTGAGCAGGTTCTGAAGGCTAGGACTATAACAGGGTTTAAAAGAGAACTAGATAAATTCATGGAGGTTAGGTCCATTAATGGCTATTAGCCAGGATGGGTAAGGAATGGTGTCCCTAGCCTCTGTTTGTCAGAGGGTGGAGATGGATGGCAGGAGAAGTCTATGTAGTACTCCAGTTGTCCTTTATATTTCTAGAAAGGAAATTCATTTATTCATTTCCTTTTTAGAATAAAGCATACTTTTAATTATTTTTATTAATAGACAGGAAAAATGCTTTGTTGAACGCAAAGATATTTATGAAAATGAGCAAAAACGCTGATAAATTATAGATCTGCTTCCAGCTTGAGCTGGCACGAGGTCCAGGAATGTATCGTTTAAATTCTGGACCATTCCTGAAATAGTGCTGTTGGTCCAAAGGACCTGTGAGCATTTTAATGTTTAATATTAGTCAATCAAAAATTGGGAATATTTCTATGAAGATTTTCCAATAAGCACTATTTCATATCTCTTATACAACAGGGGCTAACAATATATGCTATATATACTTGTACAGCCTAGAGTTATGGCCTTCCAGAAATGTGTAGACTTCATTTCCATTTCTTATGGTTCACAGGACATAGGACATGTTAAAAATCACATCATTCTGATTACCCTTGTACCTCTTCCCCATTTCAATTCTGACCTTCTTTCCAAAGCCACAGTCTCTAGAATGGTTAGAGCTATAACAAATGCTGTTAAAACCTACGATTTTCAAAGGAGCCTACGGTGCCCAAATTCCAGTGAAATTCACTAGGACAATGGTTTTTAACCTTTTTTCATTTGTGGACTCCTAAAAATTTTCAAGTGGTGGTGCTGACCCCTTTGGAAATTTTAGACATAGTCTGCAGATCCCCAGAGGTCTGCGGATCCCAGGTTGAAAACAACGGCACGAGGAGGTGAGCACCTCACTCTCTTAGGGTCTGGATTCACTGCAGGATTAACTCTGGTGATTGGCACCCAGGTTAGTCTATTCCCGAGTGTAAGCAGCCACACTGCAAAGCTAGACTCAAATTATTGTGTTCTCACTGATTTCTGAGGGCACATCCTATGGTTCTTTGTAGTGCCATAAACTGAGCTGTTGTATGTGAATTGTGGGGAACTCGTCTGTCCTCTGGGCACATGGGGGAATTGTGGGAAGGCACTGGAAGACTATCAGCACTAAAGTTATTTAGCCTGCATCTGCAATGTAGCATGAGTGGGTTACTAACCTGAGTGAAAGCAGCACTTAGGCTTTAACCTGTCGCTCCAGCCTGGCCAACTAGCCCAGGCTTAAAGATCAGGTGAGGGGGTTCTGTGTGTAAATGGGAGTGAGGTTAGCAGCAATACCTGAGTAAGATTCCCAAGTTAACTCTGCAGAAAAGACATCCCCTTAAAAATCCCAGCCAGAATCAGAAACCTGGAAAACTCAGCTTTCAAATGGCATAAAACATTAAGCTCCGTCCAGCAAATCGCTTAAGCACAGAGTGAACTTTAATGGTGTGAGTAGCACAAGGCTCATGTGCTTCAAGTGAAGCACCCATTTACGTGCTTTGTGAACTGTCCTTAATTGGCTCACTAGACTCTAGAGCGCCTCTTGAACTTGGAAACAGGAACTGCAGACAACAGCAGCAGCATGGGAATCTAGCATTCACTCAGACTTTGATGGGAGAAGAAATGCAGCGTGATAAAATATTAAATTAAAAAATGAAGTCTGGAAGCTAATCAGATTTGATGTACTGTTCAATGAAATAGTAAAAATACTTTTTTCTAATTGTTCAAGAAGATGACACCCATGTTTAAGGCCCAATGTATTCTGACAACTTTTGGCACACCAGTACAAATATTGTCTGAGCTAATATATTTTTCCAAACACTGATCAGAAAGTAAAACTTGTAATCCTCTGAGGTACTCCATTTATTTCCTTCTTTACACAAAGGGTTCAATCTAAGCCAGTCTAAAAAGGATTTTGGAAAAAATAAAGGCGAAGCAACCAGGCCAAGCGTGGTTTATCTGAATGCCAGTAATAATCCTAATTACAGAATTTGAATTGGTAACTGAGTTGATGATTTTGTTTCTAAACAGATCGCCTGATTTTCATGAAGAAATCAAAATTAAACTCCCTGCCACTTTAACTGATCATCACCACCTGCTTTTTACTTTCTATCATGTCAGTTGCCAACAAAAACAAAACACGCCTCTTGAGACGCCGGTTGGATACACTGTAAGCCTCTTTCTTTCTTTCAACAAAATCAAATTTTGATCCAAAGCAGGATATATTATTAATGTATTTGTTTTTATTTTACTCAGCATTGTCACATCATAGAATATCAGGGTTGGAAGGGACCTCAGGAGGTCATCTAGGCCAACCCTCTGCTTAAAGCAGGACCAACTAAATCCCCAAATGGTCCCCTCAACGATTGAACTTACAACTCTGGGTTTAGCAGGCCAATGCTCAAACCACTGAGCTATCCCTCCCCCCGTTATGTAGATGACATAATTTGAATAGTGCTTCAACTTGTAAAAGTCTAGCATGGCCACTAATCACACATTAGCCATGTTTCCATCCAGAAAATGTTTGCTGTGAAATTCAGCCCTGTAGGACTCAATATATTGTGTTGTTTTTTTCCCCCCTCTCTTAAAGTGGATACCAATGCTTCAAAATGGACGTTTGAAGACTGGTCAGTTCTGCCTACCTGTTTCATTGGAAAAACCACCACAGGCTTATTCTGTGCTTTCTCCAGAGGTCAGTTATTGCTCATGCTGAAATCCCTCAGAAGAAGATATAAGGAAAAAGCTATAGAAAAATTTGAAATTCTTAGGCTATTTCTTGAAAACTGTTAACTCTAAAAAGTGCTGTGTGTATCATCTGACAGTAAAATTGAGTTAGTATTTTAATTAGAAGAACCTTAGCTCTACAAAGGAGGTGCTTTCTCTTTTCCTACAGGTAATGCCTGAGGTGTCTTATATGAGTTAATGATTTTATTAACTTCCTATAGGTGCCCCTTCCTGGAATGAAGTGGGTAGATAATCACAAAGGAGTTTTCAATGTAGAAGTTGTTGCCGTATCATCCATCCACACACAGGTAACTATTAATAGCAGACTTAGTCACACATGTAGCTTGATAGTCATTTGACAATGGCAACATTGAATCTCCCACTTGTAATAAATGTGTAATAAACTCACATCAGTTTCAATGAAAGTTTAAAGTAACAAGGGATGTAAAGTTCTGAGAGGACTGAAAACAGAACCATTGCCCCAGTTCTGCTGACAGTGCATCCTGATAACTGCCATTGAGGTCAGTAGGAGTTTTGGGTGCACACCTAATGACAGAATGGCCTGCAACACTTTCAGCTCCTTGGCCTGTGGCCTATATCCTTGTAATTTTAGATACATGTACTACTCAGATCTCAGACTTTCATTTTTTTCCTTGTTTATCTTTCTTTTCCTTTCCTAATTGTGTCCTCTTCCAGTTGTACTTGAACTACAACGTGAAACTGCACTCCTTTTGACTAATAAATACTTCACATATTTTATTTTGAAGTCCCAGGTTTCTTTTTGGATGTTTTTACATATTGTGTTATTTTATTTGTGATGTGGTTGGAGGTGGGGGTTTGCATGTGTTTTGTTGATAAATCCTCAATGAATGGGATACTTAAGATAGATCCACTGAGACTTTGAAAGTAACACATTTATAAATATCATTTTATTTGTGTGTAGGACCCTTACCTTGACAAATTCTTTGCACTTGTTCATGCTCTGGACGAGCACATGTTTCCTGTGCGAATAGGAGACATGAGAATTATGGAGAACAATTTGGAAAATGAATTGAAGAGCAGCATTTCAGCTTTAAATTCATCTCAGCTGGAGCCGGTAGTGCGATTTCTTCATCTCCTGCTTGACAAGCTGATTCTTCTGGTTGTGAGACCTCCTGTCATTGCAGGCCAAATAGGTATTTTCTTGAAGTTTTATACAAACACAGTTGATAAACTGACGCTTTCAACTTTATTATATTTACGTAGAAATTAAAACAGTCCCATATTCATGCCAACATTTTAGGAATGCAAATATACAATGTATCCTCAAAATAAAACATGCTGGCATCTGGATCTGTAATGATACATACTAGAAATATCTAATGCCAAGATTTTTCCAAAGTGACTTATGAGTAGGGTGACCTGACATCCTGAAGTTAGGGGTTTTGTCTTATATACACAACTCTATCCCCCTTCCCCACTCCCTGAAAAAAAGTGTTTCGATTTTGCAACTTGCTATCTGGTCACCCTTATTATGAGTTATGTTGCCCAATTTAAGATGCTTAAAGAGACCTGATTTTCAGAGGATGGGTGCTCAGCACTTTCTGAAAACCAGGACCTATTAAGGTGTCACCAAGCTGAGCACCTAGAGTTTGAGACCCCCAACGTCCTTAGTCACCTTGAAAAATCTTGGCCTAGATAACATTAGATTTAGATGCTGTTTGTTCATAAGGACATAAGAACAGCCATACTGGGTCAGACCAAAGGCCCATCTAGCCAGTATCCTGTCTTCCGACAGTGGCCAATGCCAGGTGCTCCAGAGGGAATGAACAGAACGGGTAATCACCAAGTGATCCATCCCCTGTCGCCCATTCCCAGCTTCTGGCAAACAGAGGCTAGGGACACCATCCCTGTCCATCCTGGCTAATAGCTGTTGATGGACCTATCCTCCATGAACTTATCTAGTTAGAATAATAGAATATCAGGGTTGGAAGGGACCTCAGGAGGTCATCTAGTCCAACCCCCTCCTCATAATGTAGTCATTATGAATCTGATCCTGCCAGCAGTAATTCCACCCTTTGCCTCCACCACAAGCAATGCAGCTCCACTCAGCTCTCTGTTATGGGCTGGGCTTTAATGGTATAATTGAGCACTTAGTGGAATCTGTCAGTATTTAAAGTCCTACAGTTCAAACACAGGTGAAGAAGCTACTGCTGTACTTACTGTCCACAGTGTGCGCAGGGGATTGTTTGATTAGATGGAATAAGTGAGCAAGTTTGTTGAGGTATTCTGTGCTTCTGATAAGCAAGTTACTTTTCACTCCTGGAGCACCCACAATAAATATATACAGTTGGAATTTACTGGTGGCTGCCTTTGAAAGTGAATGAGACTCGTGCTCTGAGGTCATGTAGATACTTACCCATGCTGTATGTAGGTATGATATCTTGAATAGACAGGAATAGAATTAATACACTTTGGATGAGGTTGATGATGTAGGTGAAATAGACTTGAAAAGTAGCTAGCGTGACCTTTGCACCATTTGCGCAGTTATATGTATTCTATGCCAGTTCTGAGATTCAGCTTGTCTTCTAAAAGGAGGAAGGATTTCAGGTGTGAATGTCAGCTTATATAGTACAGGCATTGGGTCCTATTCTGCTTTTAGAGATCCAACACGGTCTTCATTGAAGTTATTTTGGATTTATATCAGTGTAAGTGAGAGCAGAATTTGGCCTATTCTTATTAAAACGTAGCATACCAAATAGTAAGCATTTTAAATCTTGGGACCTGATTCTCATTTGCACTAAGCCTTATTAGACCACTCTAGTAGTATAAAGAGGTCTTACATGAAAATGATATTCAAGCCCTCATTGTTTAAAACTGTAAGTTGAGATTTTCAAAGCAATCTAATGAATTTAGACATAATAGAAGATATGTCAAAAGCCCCTAAATGTCTTTGAAAATCACTAATCATTTTCTTTTTTATTTGTTTGGGAAAGGGTGTGTTTTTGAAACATGAAGAGTGGCTCTATTTTTTAAAAAATCTCTCTTGTTCCACAAGTGTCTTTTGTTTTGGGCTCATGAAATTGGGGGCTGCCTTTTAAATAACTATGGTCATAAACTGGTTCCAGCTACAAACATGGGTCTGCCCATATTTTGTTAGCCTATAGCCACATTAGGCTTTCTGTGTACTCATTTTTAGAACATAACCGGTTCAGATACAGAACTGGGCAGTTCTTGTTGCTACATTTCATACTTCAGTTGCAGCTTGACTGCAGCAAAACTGTTAATGGAGAAGAATGCTGTGAACATCCCGAGGATTTTATCTTTTCATTAACTCGTGGCCTGAGCTTGCTCCCATTGCAATCAGTGGCAAAACTTCAGTTGATTCCAGTGTTCTAGGACTGAGCCCTAATGTCATTAAATTTTATATTAAACCAAATGGAGGCTTATCACTACAGCTCGTATCTGATCCTTAAACTGTTTGTTAGAGCTGGTCCAAATTTCAAGTAAAATACTTCATAAGAAACTTTTTCTGTTTTATGACCTGCTCTGCTGTTTATCTTTTAAGCGATGAATGGAATGAGCATTTATAGTGTGATCACAGGTACTGCTGAACTCTTATAACCAAACTTCTCACCTTACTTCTTTCAGTTAACCTGGGTCAAGCATCTTTTGAAGCGATGGCATCAATCATAAACAGACTCCACAAAAACTTAGAAGGAAACCAGGACCAGCATGGCCGAAACAACCTTCTCACTTCCTATATTTATTATGTTTTTCGTCTACCAAATACCTATCCCAATTCACCTTCACCAGGTATCTTCACTTCTTGTTTTTAAAACACATTTTATTGAGCAATTGGAATTGCGTTTGGTGAAAGAGCTTTGTTATACATAGCTGAATGTGAGAGAGAATATTGTTCCTTGTTTAGAACAGGTGCTAGCAACCATCCCTGGGGGGTTACATCTTGGTTGTTAGCTTGGTCGTTAGTCCACAGATGACTCAGTGGACCCATCTGTACAGAGGATTTAATGGTACTTGCCTGCTTCGAAGGCTTAATCAGTTAATGTTTGTAAGGTGTGTTGAGTGTCGGATGGGCAGTGTTCTATAACTGCAAAGCATACGTAGCAGTAGATTTCTTTTTGGGGAGTAAATGTATTCTTTTGTGAATGTGCACATAAGCTCATATTCTCCAGATTGGACAGACTGGGCTTGACACAAATCTGGAGTGGAATTAATGTGACATTAAGCCATTTTTGTGACACCTCCTCCCTCCTCCCCCCCCCCCAGGCGTGGGGCTGCCAAATATCAGCATGATTCCAAGCACAAGATAGAGCAGCATGAAGGCTGCTCTATCTTACACCAGTTGCCAACAGTCCCCAGGGGCCATTCCAATAGTCAGGGATCAGTGGACAGAATGGCGTTCTGACCATGCCCCCTTTTTCCCAGCCACATCCCCTATACTGGAGAGCCAGGTGTGGGGATGGCACAGGAGCTGCTACAGCTACCCTATGCCATCGGAGGAGTCCCCTGCTGCCCGGATCCACCAGGTATGCAGACGCTTTGCAGCAGCAGACTGGTGCAAAGCAGCCACTCTGTGGCCATGATTTATAACATTACAAGATGTTCTCTTGTGTGAAATTGTAGGTCCCGGTGGTTTGGGGGGATCCGTGCATTATGCTACTATGGCTCGATCAGCTGTCCGACCAGCAAGCCTTAATTTGAATCGCTCAAGGAGTCTTAGTAACAGCAATCCGGATATATCTGGGACTCCGACCTCACCAGATGATGAAGTACGGTCAATCATTGGAAGTAAGGTACGATTGCACAACTAAGGCTCCTAGGAAACTCCACATTTCTCTTCAATCTTAAAACAAATGAAGAAGGAACTTTAACGTGTTTGTCCTTTCAAAAAGAAATCTGTATTCACTCATCCTTACTAATGACCCCTTCAGTGTCTTTCCCTATGCTGGGAAAGTAGCTGGCATCTTGCTCCCAGAACACATGCCACTGTTTCTATTTGACTTGCTAAAGACCCCTAAGAGGAGAGAGAAACAAGTACCAATCGGATATTACCCTGTCTCTTGACAAGTGTTCCCTGTAAAGACATGGTGGCTGAGAGGGCAGGACTCTTTTTTATTTTATATATATTCTCTGGCCCCCCTCTGGTATAAAGTGTCACAACCCCTCCCCACCAGTACCACCACCCTTCATTCTTCCAGCATGGATTATCTTGAAAGAACTTTTACCTCCAGTCCTTGAAAAATCAACTAATCAAGTTTGTTAGTAAAGTAACCCACCTGGGTCAGTTTGACATTTGTCAATCCTGTATTCAAAGAAAGGCAGGGGAGGCTTTGGTCTGAGACAGAGATGTCACTAATTTTTGAATGACTAAAAATAGTAATTTTCTCACCAGACAGAAGACAAGATAAGTTCTGTTCGGTGAATCATTATTTAAAATAAATAAATAAAGCAAGGACTAGAAGATTTAAAAAAGTTTAAAGATCCACTTAGATGTCTCACTAATTAAACAACCTTGACCTTTTGTGAAACGCCCAGGGGAGTGATGTGCATGTGGAATTTACACAGGATATTAGACGCTTTCCATGTGCTGACTGAGTGAATAATGTGGCAATAGAAAATGGAAAGAGATTTTCTTCCAGATACATACTCTGTGCTTAAAAAGCTAATGTGTAGACTACTGTTAATGGAAATATTTCTTGCCAGTAGCTTGGTCAGCAGATACTAGGCTGGATATGAATATACAGAATCTAAGAAAAATAATTACATTTAAATCTATCAAATCCAATAGTCAAAATATAGATGTCTTCATAAAATGCTGAAAGTGGTACATAGGTGCAAAATACCATTTGTACATACTCAAATAATGATTTAAGCAAGTGACCATCCTACTAAAGAGCCTTCATTTGAAAATAGGACCAATCATGAGAGGTGTTTTATTTTTAAAAAGCACCCATCATTTTGTTTGTTTCATTTAATTGTTTGGAATAAACCCTTATATTTGTTATCTGTTGTGTGGGTTATCTGGTGGATTCCATTTAAGCCATCACTGACTCATATTTCTGATTTTATTCTAAAAATCTTTAAGTTATCTCTCTTACAGTGTTTAAGGATTGCTTTGGATCAACATAATGCAGGAGGTTTTGGATCTGATACTAATCTCTGTCTTTCACTATTTTGGGATTCTTATTATTTTTGAAGCAAATTTGGCATCTGCCAAAAATAGCCTTTATACCATTTTGCACTTGTAATAAAAATATGTAGATTTCCTAAACTGTTGGAAGTATGCTGGGGAAAAAAAACAGAAAATATCTGGTTTTTGACTGCTATGAATATAATGCTTGAATATAATCCTGCTAGTGGATCTGCACAAGCAAGCAGATGCACCCACACAGATCCTCTTACAGGACTGGGACCTCAGTCATTGCCTGGAATTTAACAAGTTGTATGTACTTCATATTTACTACTGCTTGAAAGGAGAGGAAACTCTCAATTCTATACATTGTGACAGGGGGAGGAGCTTCTACACTTTCCAATATAAAACAAAATTGGCTCCCACTCCTGTAAACACGTAAGTCCATGTGTCACTTGATCTACATTGCAGTCATTAGGACTGTGCATGTGAGCAAAGTTATGTGCTTAGGTATTTGCAGGATCAAGACATGTGCTTAGCTTGACTCACTGCAAGTAGTCCCATTGACTTCTACTCAAAGTATGTAAAATTAAGCTTGTGCCTTTCCATGATCAGGGCTTTTCTTTGTTTCTGCTGAATCATAATTCAGAACAAAACAACATTTTCCAGTTTGTGTTGTCTGTTTGTTACTGAGTCTAGTTGAGCAAAATTACAACAACGCTGTGCTCTCTCATACTGGATGGCTCAATAGCATAACCTCAAGGATAAATCTGGACTCAAGTTTGGTGTGAGTTTTTAATGGGTTGTGAGAAATGAATTGGTGGTCTGGATCCAGTTTGTAGTTGACAAAAGTCTCTATTTCAAAAACCATCATCATAGCTGGCATCTAAACTGCACCTTTTCTGGGCATCTAAGCAAAGTTGGCATGGAGATTGCAAAGTCCTGTCTCCCAGGTGAGGACTGAAGTTCATTTGAGAATGTTATGAGGAGCTATGTATGTAGTAATTATCCCATAAGATCTGATCCAAAGCCCCTTGGCGTTAATAGGCTCCCATCGCATTCAATAGTCTTTGAATCAAACTGATGATGTAAAAGAGTTTCTGGAATAAGCTCAGTTTTGTCTGCTCCTACCTTTTCTTGAACTTTCTTGGGACTAATGAGTGGAAACCTAATTCTTTTCCACCTGAAATGTTGTATGCATGGTCTCTTGGTGGAGGAGGGTTTGGGGAACAAATTCCATATTAATTAGATGGGGTGGTTTTTTTCCCTCCAACATATGAAAATATGAAAAAAAAATTGTCATGTTATGAAAAGCCTAATTTTTTTTTTCAAAATGTCATATCTCAAATATAGCTTTGGGTCTAGAAAAAACACCTTTTTTCCCATTTGGTCCTTATTGAAATCTAGTACCTAGCACTATTTTTTTCAGAATATTAGCGTTCTTTGCTGTGAACATGCAAATGTCTGAGAGCTCTTTTGATGTCTCTTCAGAGCTCATACATTTCTCAACAGGACTTGTGGGGTTTATGAACACTGTATGGCAAATAGCCTGGCTCAAGAAATATAGAAACCTCACAGACCACCTTTTGTGGTTCCCATCATCTATGAGCCAGATTTTGTTCTGCTACATCAGTATAAATCTAGAGTAACTCCACTGAAGTCACTGGATTTACTCAAGATGTAAGTAAGAGCAATATTTGGTCTCATAATGGTTTTGGTGCATGGAGAGTACAAATACAACAGGTGTAGCCTGAACAGATGCTCTCATCAGTGTTAATGTTATGTTTGTGTGATTGAAAAATAATAAAAATAACCTTCGGGACTAAAATTTCTCAACACATGCCTGAGAATTCAGGTTGCTTTAACAGTACTAATTGGTGACATGTGTGTTAAACACATTTTGATTTCTTTTAAGGACTGCATATCTCTAAATTAGACTACTGTGTGGCATGCAACATGTAATATGTCTTTCCTTTCCCAACTGCTTTCTATTATATGCCCAGGGTTTAGACCGCTCCAATTCCTGGGTAAACACTGGTGGTCCCAAAGCTGCCCCATGGGGATCCAACCCCAGTCCAAGTGCAGAGTCAACACAGGTGGTGTCTACATTAGAGTTTTGGTTTTTTTGTTTTTGTTTTTTATTGGCTGATCTTTCCCTAAAGAACATCTCCCTTTAAGTGTATACTATAGTTTTGGTGGCTTGCTTTTTTCAATCTTTGAAAAGTTAGTGATTTTTATTTTTTATTTTAAAATTAGCACTTCTCCTCCTCCCTCCCACACTGCATGAAAACCCCAAAAATGCATAAACAGTGTCCCCTTCCTTTCATTTCAGTAGTTGCTGGTTTGTGAAATTTAGATGCTACAGCTCCTTTCCTTTGTTGTTGTTTTTTAACATTAGTTTCTACTTTAGGTGAAGCACATTTTTTATTGGGAACGTTGATCACAATTTTATGCCGCATCATCTTTGCTTTTTGTTTTAACGTCGTGAACCATTTTACCATTTTCATAAAGCATTTAGTATCCTTCATATTCAATTGATCCTTCCTTTTTAATGTGAATGTTTGAATGAGAGATAATTAAACCAAACAAAGTACTGGAAGCAATGATTCATAAGATGCAGCTGTATCTGTTCTGTGTTGCAAAGTATGAAATTTGTAGTGGCTTACATAAGATAGGTTTCACTTATTTAACCCTGGTTGCCTGTTGCTTTACACTGCATGATTGTTTTGAACATACCTCTCAACTTTCCTTCCTTGTAAACTTAAATTTACCTCCCTCCCACACAAATCTAGTCTGAACTAACTTGCATTAAGGCAAGTTATTTCCATCAGAAGTGTTGAATCCAGAAATTGAGTTTATGGATAAAGTTGTGTGTGCTAAAAGAAAAAATCTCATGTAATTTTCTAATTCCCTGTACTAATAGGTGGGTCATTTTGGGGGGGGGGGAGGGGGAGCGTCCACTCATATGGACTGGTAGATTGAGAGGTATGACACTGAAACATATAAAAATGTTACATTCCAGACATCTGCATGCTGAATATAAGTATGGAAAAGTTTCATGCTTTGCAGCATTAAATGTCTTTGTGCATAAAAACATGCTTTTATTTAAAGAACATGTAAATCTTAAAAAAAAAAGAAAAACCCACAACAATGCTTTTTATTGTTGTCACTCTGTTTGTTTAAACAGATGGCTAAGAGTTTGAGAGGGAGGGAAGGTGTAAAAACCTGTGAAATCTACTGTTAAACAGTATTTTGTAAATGTACATTGTCCTTGAGCTGCAGAAACCATCCCCAGCAAACTTTAATGTGCTGTCATCATTCATTCATCTCCACTCCGTAGGCTACAGATCGAAGTTGTAATCGTATGTCTTCGCACACAGAGACGTCAAGTTTCTTACAAACATTAACAGGACGGTTACCAACTAAAAAGGTAGATGTCAGTGAAGACAATTGATATCGTGGGGCATGGAGGTCGAGTCATTCTGAAACATGGTTGTCTATCTTTTATTTTGGCCTGATTTTCAGAGTTCATTGGGGATCTGCTTTTGCTGAGCACTTCTCTATACTAGATCACTAGCAAATATAAAATGTCCTGACTCAGTGAATGAGGATGAGTAAAAATAGCAGGAGAGGCTTGTCTGATGAATGTTCCTGTTGCTTAGATGGAATTACTATAGGTTTTAAAAAATATTAGTGCTGCTGTTGGATTATGTAAATGACTTGCTCTAATACAATGAATTAAAATGTGTTAGCTATTTAACACTGAGGGCCAGATTCTGACCTCACTTACATGAATGTAAATCCAGTGTAACTCTAGTGAAGTCAGGGTTTACTCTGGATTTACGCCCATTGAAAGGAGGTAAGAATCTACTCCTAAATAATGCCAGTGACACAAAATCTGTTGACTTTTTCAATAATAAAAACAACACCAGTGACTTCTACTAGTCTGTGATTTGTTCTTTCTGGGAATTGAAACTAAAGCAAGAAGATGGCTGTTAGCACAATATGGTTTATTTTTCCCATATGTACCATTTTGCTAAAGTTCTTTCTCAAAATAAATATACAGTTGTGTACAAATTGCTTTATATGTCCCCTTTTTACTCCCTTTTACTTCAAGAATCTGACCAGGCAGAAAGGTAGATTTTTAAACTAATTTGAGCAACAAATATTTTGGGAGGGAAGAAAATTGTCAACACTTAAATTTTAATGTTGGACCAAAATGACGTGCTGTTTCTCACCTCACACATCATAGCAGCGCCCGATATTGTTATTGGGGGGATCCTTTAAGGGACATTGTCACTGCTGTTGCATTAACATTTATTATTTTGCTTATCCTCATTGTTCTCCATATTTTTCATGTGTTGTGCTTCCATTTTTCACGTGGATTGTGTTGCAAGCCAACGTGGGTACTAGGACTAACTTTGGATTTGAATCTGTTTAGCTTTTTCATGAAGAACTGGCCTTACAGTGGGTCGTCTGCAGTGGAAGCGTTCGGGAGGCAGCTTTACAGCAGGCGTGGTTTTTCTTCGAGCTTATGGTGAGCAAATTGGAAACCCATTAATTTTAGGATTAATCCAGGTTTTTAGTAAAACAGACACCACTGTTAATAGCATAATGCTTTCCACAAATGACCGTTACTAGTAATATATGTTTCCTGTAGGTGAAGAGTATGGTGCATCATTTGTATTTTGCTGACAAACTGGATGCTCCAAGGAAGAATCGTTTTCCGGAACGTTTTATGGATGACATATGTGCTCTGGTCAGCACAATTGCCAATGATATAGTCTCTCGGTTTCAGAAGGTAATGGCAAGCACTTAGCTGCACCCTGGCCAATTCTGCAGCTTGTTCCATCCAGGTGCATAGATCAGGGCCTTAATTTGAAACTGTTGTTACCATATATAACAGCGCTCTTTTCCTTGCATTTTCTCTTTTTGTTCTCCCGTTCAGGATACAGAAATGATTGAAAGGCTCAACACCAGTCTTGCATTTTTCCTCAATGATCTGCTGTCTATCATGGATAGAGGGTTTGTCTTTAGCCTTATTAAGGCCTGCTACAAACAGGTAAATGCAGAGAAATGTTATGTATTAGCTGGATACGGTGTCACACCACACTACTGTAACTTCCTTAGGACCAGCTGCGAAGCAGGAGCACAACATTCCATTATCAGCGTGACTTTCAAAAAAATTAGCTTGATGTGTCATTCAGCTTGTGTTTTAATGCTTCTACATCTCTGTGCCGGATTCCCTTCTCAGGTATACTGTCTAAATCAGGAGTTAGTCCACTAAGTTGATGGAGTTACACTGGGAGGGAGGAGTCTCTCTCCATGCTTGTTGCCACCAGAGTAATGGAGGAAGAGATTAGAAAGGGGCTTGACTGCAAAATTTGGATCTGAGCATCCATGATGTGTGGGGGTATTTGGATCTGGGCTTCAGGTTCATCTTTACTACAGATTGAAACATTCCATAGTAGATGGCCTGAACAATAATAGTATTTGAACTATGTTGCCTACTGTGTGACCGGGGGAGGGGGGCGGGAACCATTTTTATAGTGGGGGTGCTGAGAGCCATTGAAGTAAACTGTAAACCCCGTATATAATGGAAACCACCTCAAGCCAGGGGGCGTGGCAGCACCCCTAGTTCCAGCACCTATGTGTGTGACTAGCCAGCCTGCTGATGTGTTTTCCTTGATCTTATTTGTGCAACTCCCTACTGAAATCAATAGGAGTTCAATATCGCATGTGAAGTAGATGGGACTTAATTTGTAATTGTAATTAGTATGCCTGATATGCAAATATTATATTGTTATAAGCATTGTCGGCTGTGGTAAATGTTAAATGTACAGTTCCACATATGACTCTTGTAATTAAAACTACAGAGAAGTGTTGTGTGTCTTACTGCTGTTTAATGACAGCTAAAGCATTATAAAACCCTTTAATCTAGTCTTTCCTGCTGTATAACATGGTGATGGAGGATATGTTAGAAGTCACATGCTGCATTTGTGTGCTGCATTACTATTAACTGTATAATTTGTGTTGTTCTTGCCAGGTGTCTTCAAAGCTTTATTCTTTACCAAATCCAAGTATCCTTGTATCCTTGAGGCTGGACTTCCTCCGCATTATCTGCAGCCATGAGCACTACGTCACCCTGAATTTACCCTGTAGCCTACTCACGCCACCTGCATCTCCCTCACCATCTGTGTCTTCGGCAACTTCTCAGGTAGGCAAAGCAGCAAAGGCCACGTGGAAATTCAAGCTGAGCTTTCTCTGGCTTTAAGATTAAGCTTGATAAGTTTATGGAGGGGATGGTTTGATGGGATAAAGTGATTTTAGTCAATAGGTCAATAATGTGCCATTGCTGGTAATTAGTAACAATGGTCAA